GACCATCATCTTACCTTCAAGGAGCGTACAGTCCAAGGGGAACAGACTCATGGGAACACCTACGGTGTCTGTGCAGTTAAAAAATCTTCCCCTGGGAGGTTGTTGTTGTGGCCAGGTGGGTAAAGCTGCCCCTTGCAATGCTATATCAGTTGTCAGTTTGAGTCCCAGCTGCTCCACTTCTGATCCAGCTCCCTGCTAATGCACCTGGGAAAGCAGTGGAAGATGGCCCAAGTCCTTGGGGCCCTGCACCTGCGAGGGAGACCCAGAAGAAGCTCCTGGCTCCTGGCTTTGGGCCGGCCCAACTCAGACCATTGCTGCCATTTGGGGAGTGAACATTGGGGAGTGGATGGAATATTCTCTCTCTCTCTCTCTCTCAACTCTACCTTTCAAATGAATAAATAAATATTTTTAATGGACTGGCATTGTAGCACAGTAGGTTAATCCTCCGCCTGTGGCGCTGGCATCCCTTATGGGCACCAATTCTAGACCTGGCTCCTCCTCTTCCAATCCAGCTCTCTGCTATGGCCAGGGAAAGCAGCAGAAGATGGCCCAAGTCCTTGGGCCCTTGCACCCTTGGGGGAGACCCAGAAAAAGCTCCTGGCTCCTGGCTTCCAATCAGTTCATCTCTGGCCATTGCAGCTATTTGGGGAGTGAACCAGAGGACAGAAGATCTTTCTCTTTCTCTCCCTCTCACTGCCTGTAATTCTACCTCTCAAATAAATAAACATTTTTTTAAAAAATTGGAACATATACACAGTGGAATACTACTCAGCCACAAAAAGGATGAAATCTTGCCATTTGCAGCAATGTGAATGGAACTCGAAGGCACTATGTTAAGTGAAGCAAGCCAGGCATGATCTCATTCATACACGGAGACTACAAAATAGGGGCTCCCATGGAAGTTACAAGTATGATGGCATGCGCCAGAGGCCAGCAGGGGGAGGGACAAGGGATGGATAGTAAGAGTCAGTTAGTGGCTGCATGGAGCTTCTTCCGGGTCTCCCATGTGGGTGCAGGGGCCCAAGGACCTGGGCCATCTTCTACTGCTTTCCCAGGCCATAGCAGAGAGCTGGATGGGAAGAGGGGCAGCTGGGACTAGAACCAGAGCCCATACGGGATGCCGGCATGCTGGTGCTTCAGGCGGGGGGCTAACCTACTGCGCCATGGCACCAGCCTCCAGGGAGGTGGTATTTGAAGAGGATGATCGAGTCACTGAGCTCTGTGCCAGGACAGCAGCTTGATCCACATCCTGAGGGCTTCCATTTTTTATTCCAAGTGTGACGGCATTGACTAGTGAGAGCGACACCTGAGAGAGAATGGACGCAGGCATTCAGTTCAGATGGTACAGGTCTGACAACTTGAGGCTCCACACAAATCCCCTATGCATATATTTAAGTTCTGATATTTCATCCAGAAAATAGCACAATTTAATGAGAGCTGTGGGGGCAGACAGAACCCACTAGAGATCCTGGGACTGCTTGCTCCTCACTTGGGTGGTAATTCACTTTGAGCCCATTTTTCTCACTTAGCAAATGGAATGGCAACTGCTCCTCATAAAGCTTAAGTAGGGTGATGTGAACAAGGTCATGGAACACACTCAGCAAGCACAAGGCCAGTTCCACTTCCGCTCCCTTTCAGTAGAGAACTGTACAGGATATCCACTGTAACGCCTTCTGTGCCATGGGACTGACTCCCAAGGTTTTCTTTTTTTCTTTTTTCTTTTTTTTTTTTGAGATTTATTAATTTATTTGAAAGTTGGAGAGGGGAGGGGAGGGGAGGGGAGGGGAGGGGAGGGGAGGGGAGAGAGGTCTCCCATCCGCTGGTTCACTCCCCAATTGGCTTCAATGGCTGGAACTGTGCAGATCCAAAGCCAGAAGCAAGGAGCTTCTTCTGGGTCTCCCACGCTGGTGCAGGGGCCCAAGGGCTTGGGCCATCTTCTGCTACTTTCCCCAGGCCATAGCAGAGAGCTGGATTGGAAGTGGAACAGCCAGGACACTAACCGGTGCCCATATAGGATGCCGGTACTTGCAGATGGTGGCTTTACCTGCTACGCCACAGCGCCAGCCCCCAAGATTTTCAACAAGAACGCTGGTTGATGTAAGATCAATTTCTGGGGCCGACATTGTGGCACAGCAGGTAAAGCTGTAGCCTTCAATGCCAGCACCCATATGAGCACTGGTTCAAGTCCCAGCTGCCCCACCTCCGATCCATCTCCCTGCTAATGCACCTGGGAATGCAATGAAGGATGGCCCGAGTCCTTGGGCCCCTAAAACCATGTGGGAGACCAGGATGAAGCTCCTGACTGCTGGCTTCAGCCTGGCCTGGCCCTGGCCGTTGTGGCCATTTGGGGAGTGAATGAACAGATGGAAGCACTCTCTCTCTCTCTCTGTAACTCTACCTTTCAAATAAATTTTTAAAAAAAAAAATCTTTAAAAGATGATTATTGGCTGGCGCCACGGCTCACTTAGCTAATCCTCTGCCTGCAGTGCCGGCACCCCAGGTTCTAGTCCTGGTTGCTCCTCTTCCAGTCTAGCTCTCTGCTGTGGCCCGGGAAGGCAGTGGAGGATGGCCCAAGTCCTTGGGCCCTGCACCCACATGGGAGACCAGGAGAAGCACCTGGCTCCTGGCTTCGGATCAGTGCAGCGTGCCGGCCGTAGCAGCCACTTGGGGGGTGAACCAACAGAATGAAGACCTTTCTAACTCTGCCTGTCCAAAAAAAGGAAAAAGAAAAAAAAAAAAAGATGATTATTTATTTGAAAGGTAGAGTTACAGCGGGGGACTGGGAGTGGAGCAGCCGGGACTCGAACTGGCACCCATATGGGATGCTGGTGATGCAGGTAGAGGTTGTACCTGCTATGCCGCGGCACCGCCTCCACCCTCCCCCATCTTTAAATGAAGATAATGCCATCTCACAGAATCAGCTGTGATCGACATCAAATGTGAAGCTAGCTCAGCTCAACAAGCTGACCGGAGACAATCAGACGGCACAGGTGCCTGCTCCTTGGAGCTCGTCATCTCTGGCCCCGGGCCCTTCTTTCTCCCTGATCTGGCTCTCCAGAAACCAGCTTGGTTTAGCTTCACAGGACTCCATCCTCTGCTGCTTTCTCAGGCCATTAGCAGGGAGTTAGGTCAGAAGTGGAGCAGCAGGGACTCAAACTGCTGGGGTGCTAGTGCCAAAGGCGGAGGCTTAAGCTATTATGTCACAGCACTACACCCACCCACCCCAGTGCATTTTTATTATGTTATAAAACATTCACTGGCTAGGCCGGTGCCGCGGCTCAATAGGCTAATCCTCCGCCTAGCGGCACCAGCACACCGGGTTCTAGCCCCAGTTGGGGCGCCGGATTCTGTCCCGGTTACCCCTCTTCCAGACCAGCTCTCTGCTATGGCCCGGGAGTGCAGTGGAGGATGGCCCAAGTGCTTGGGCCCTGCACCCCATGGGAGATGAGAAGCACCTGGCTCCTGCCTTCGGATCAGCATGGTGCACCGGCTGCAGCGCGCCGGCCGCGGTGGCCATCGGAGAGTGAACCAACAGCAAATGAAGACCTTTCTCTCTGTCTCCCTCTCTCACTGTCCACTCTGCCTGTAAAAAAAAAAAAAAAAAAAAAAAAATTCACTGGCTGTTCTCTCTCCCTGAGGGACGGGTGGCTGTCCCTGTGCAGGTGTGGACACAACCTTGCACCCTGCACCGCCCTCCCTGCATTCTGTGGCAGATGAGCCTTTGGGCCTGCAGCCCAGGTTTTTGCAAGGGCTTGTCCTGAGAGAGGCGTTCTTACCACCGCTCCCTCAGACTCTAATTCGAATAACACTCTGGAGTTTTCTGGCAAATTATTTTGCAAATTATCACCTCCAAGTTTTGCTGAAGTCTTTCGCATACTGAGCTTGCTTCAAACAAGGCACACACGAAACCCTGGGACATACTCCACCATCTTCGAAAGCTGATGAGGTGAAGTGCATGTCTGTTGCTGAGCAGTACCGACGTTAGCCCACTCAGGACCCTGACTCCACAGAGGGTACGCTGGGTGGTCCTACCTCTTGTATTTCTCTGATGTCTCTGCAATCATCTCACACAGGTAGTGTACACACATCACTGCACACTCCACTCCACCTGTCCCAGTCTCCAGGGACAATTGGATGGAGCCGACGTTGGAGGACTCCCGGAAAACACAGAACAGAGGCAAAATGGAGCCTTGTGCAACCATTTCTGCCCATCAGAGGGTTGCAGTATGCAGTTAGGCAGGGGAAAGTTGGTTCAGAATCAGTGGTTACTCAAAGTCCTTCAAAAACTATGGTATTTGACCAGTACAGGGGTCTCCCTCTGCCCAGAAAGGTTTTCCTTCCGTTGGTTCACTCCCAAATGGCCCTTGCAGGTTAAAAAGGTAACACAATGATCAGCACTGTGGCATAGTGGGGAAAGCCGCTACCTGCACTGCCAGCATCCCATTTGGGCACCAGTTCTAGTCCTGGCTGCTCCACTTCCGATCCAGTTCTCTGCTACAGCCTGGGAAAACAGTAGAGATGGCCCACATCCTTAGGCTCCTGCACCTGTGTGGGAGACCCAGAAGAAGCTCCTCGCTCCTGGTTTTGAGTCAGTGCAGCTCCGGTCGTTGCAGCCAATTGGGGAGTGAACCAGCGGATGGAAGACCTCTCTCTCTCTCTGCTTCCCCTTGTCTCCCTGTGTAATTCTGACTTTCAAATAAATAAACCTTCGGGGGGGAAAAAGCCTCTTTAACTGGTTTTTAACTACACAGCAGGTGTTTTGACTAAAGCTCTGTGCTAGCTTGAGTTGACAAAGACACTCCCAGTACTCAGGAACCCCAGAGGTTTCAGCTGTTCCTTGTCAGGAGCCAGGGATAAAAACCAGACAAATTCCCCACTACACGGCTTGGACAGGACCCAAGTTTGAGAAGTGACAAAGCACTGCAATATCTGAAGATTTTTGCATTCTTACCTCAACCCACTGAGACAGCATATTCTTAAGATAATGAAGACACAGCCCCCCAAAACCAGAATGAAACTTTATTGTGTAAAGTTTATAGAAGTATGACTAATCTTCCTCTGTACAAAGTACACAACAGTTTTAAATACAACGGAGGGAAACAAGTCCTACGACAACATTTGATACACGCTAATTGTTTACAGACACACTAAAAAAAGTTTAAAAGATCTTTTTTCTCCCAGAGTCCACTGCGCATTTCCTAGGGAGCGGGAGCAGCCCAGGCAAGGTCACAAGGGCATCTTATTGCCTTCGATGCTGATTTTCACTGCGTGCGCGGAGCGGCTTTTCTTCCTGATATCCGTGAACTTCCTCATCTGCTTATCCAGCCGGCTGATACCTTTCTTGGAGGTCGCCTGAAACTAAGAGTCGGGGAAAATTAAAGAGCAAATTATTCAAATACATAAATCTACTTACGTCTTACACCTTCTTTTCTCTCAAAGTTGGCAGCCACAAGAGTTCCTGGCTCTAGAATAACCAAGACATGCTTTGGTGACCTCAGCAACCGAGTAAGTACACACAGCAGTGTTAGAAACACCTCCTAACCTCTCTCAACCAAGAAGCGTTTTGTTGTCATCTGTGCCTTGTTTTAATTTTGCTGCAGTCCATGGAAATCCCCCAGGTGAGGGAGAGGAGGCAACACTGACAGGACCACCCAACCCCATCGTTTATACTCCATGTCCACCGTGTGCTTTTCCCCCTCAAGGACCAAATGTGGGGCTGACCACCTGCCACACACATTCAAACGCTGGGCTCTTCTAAAGCAAAGGGAAGTCAGCTGAGAAAAAGTGTGGATGAGGAGAGGCCTGCCCTAACTACTGAGGCTCTAGGGTTCCAGACTGGGGTGAACCCCTGCTCTGCCTCAGCAGGCTCCGTCCCCTGCAAACCAAGCCGCAGGCCTGCACTCTCTTGAGAACCGCTGGGGGAAGTATTGACGCCCAGACGTGAAGACAAGCAGGCGTGCCCGACAGCAGGATGAGCTCTATCATTACTACTCACTCACGCCAACTCAGTGTGCACACCTGACACAAAAATACAAAGTCAGGTCTCGTCCCACTTGCCCTCGATGTCTAAAGGTTTGGTTGTCGACTGCATCTTGTAAAGATGTGCTCTCCAAGAAAATGATCCTTTTCAGAAATACTGGAAAGGTCTGCCACTGCTGTCACAGGTCCGGATGAACTCTTCTTGCTGACTGTGGCGCTAACAGTTCAGTGTTTAAGAGTGGTGAGTGGCTAATGAGATGGACTTTAAGCATTCTTCTCCCCAGGTGTTTACTGCCCAATCACTTCTGAAGCTTGGATCAAAGGAACGCTAAAGAGAGGTGCCGCTAGGAGATACTCAGTGCCCGCGCACTGGAGGTCCTTGAGTCTGGGAGGCTGCCCAGTGTGACCCCACCTGACTCAGTCTCATCTTGAGATGCAGTCAGTGGAGCACTTGGCAAAGCACTCTGTTACCTTATTCTTGAACAAGAGCCAGGCTGCTCATCCAGTCTAGGTTTTCTAGGAACACGCCAGTTCTAATTCCAAGTGTTGTTCTCTATCAGTCAACACTTGGCACTAGTCCTCTGGGTTAGCATACAAATTCACTGTCAGCTAAGCCATCATCACGCTATCCCTCAAAATTTCTTTTTTTTTTTTTTTAAGTGTTTTTTGTTTGTTTTTTTTTTTTTTATTTTTTCGACAGGCAGGGTGGACCGCGAGGAAAAGAGAAAAAAAGAAAAAGGTCTTCTTTTTTGTCGTTGGTTCACCCTCCAATGGCCGCCGCTGCAGCCGGCGCACCGCGCTGATCCTGGCAGGAGCCAGGAGCCAGGTGCTTTTCCTGGTCTCCCATGGGGTGCAGGGCCCAAGCACCTGGGCCATCCTCCACTGCACTCCCTGGCCATAGCAGAGAGCTGGCCTGGAAGAGGGGCAACCGGGACAGAATCCGGCGCCCCAACCGGGACTAGAACCCGGTGTGCCGGCGCCGCAAGGTGGAGGATTAGCCTATTGAGCCACGGCGCCGGCTTATCCCTCAAATTTCTAAACAGCTGACTTCCTTTGAGATGATGGGAAAGGAAGCCCACGCTAGAAGATTTTTCTGCTTTGGGTCTGACAACTACTCGACTCCCAGAAGCTCCACACACAACCTAGACTTCTCCAACAGGTTGAGGCCTGATCAGTCGTCTGGTCTTAGCTGCAGGCATACACCCAGGCCAGTGCTAACTACTCCTAGTTAGTATCCGCATGACCCACAGCTGAAGCATCTTAGCTGCCCCAAGCCTGAAAACACACAGACCCCAGCACCTAACGTGACAAACTCAGTGACCTTCCTTCTGACTCGCCAACTCCATACACCACACTTCCTGGGGACACTAGAAGTGCTCACTCACTACTGCATCAGAGAAAAACCAGAGGCGGCTTAAAGACTAGCAAGGTGGGTTTGTTCTAAAAATTATGCTGTAACTGTTTGAAAACACAATACTAAATCACTAAAAAAGATTCATTCAAATGAATTTTTATCTTGTAAGTAAAAATCATCATATTGCTGAATTGTTTTAAATAGTAGTAATGTTTCTGTATGCATCTAAAAAAGGACCAAAAGAATCCAAATGTTGATATTAAGTTGCTGCAGGATTACACATAGCATTGATTTACTTAGGCTTTCCAGATTTTAAAAATATTAAAGAAAAACATGCATTGCTTTTTGCCACTTCAGGGTTACTTTAAAAGCACTCCATGGAATAAACGGACATACAAAAGCGCAATGAAGTACACAGGTGTGTGATCACATACCATGGAGGAATGAATAACCAAATAGGTTTTCACTGCTGGGACCAGGGGTGACTTTTCTAGCATCATAGAAACTACGTTTGAAGCAAAATGGCAAACAGATTTAAAACCATGAGGTGGTCCGTGGGGAGGAGGGTCCCTCTACAGTCCGCCTACCTCGTAAAAGGGGTATTCAGAATGTCGAACAGGGACCCAGTGTCAGGCAGTTTAAGGATTACAGGTAGGAACAGGCCCCTAAAACAGGACTCACTTTCCTGAGAGAGCAGACGGAGGTCTGAATGCCAGCACTCCACTGTGTGGAAGGTCGGCAGCGGGGAGAGCTGCTTTCCACAGGCTTCTCTCTCTCTGCACCTACAGCAGCAGCAGCAGCGGCAGCAGCAGCTCATGCCTTCCCACCCGGCCACCTACAGAGTGGGGATCAGGCCAGCAGCACCAACAGGTAGGCACTCGCCCCTCGGGACACCAGGTGCCTCCCACAGCAGACTGCTTTCTCGGCCTGCCTTCAGCTCCCAATTCTCAAAAACAGAAGAACTGAGGAAGAAAAAAAATAGAAAAGGGCCAAAACTGAGAAAAGAGTGAAAAAAGGAGAGATAGGTAAAAAAGAAAAAAAAGTTCAGGGTGAGAGGCTATAAACAAGTGGCTAAAGGACGTGGTATTGGGTACAGTAAAAAAAAGGGAAGGAAATAGAAGATGAAGAAGTCACTGCCATTGAACTTGTCCTTATCACTCTATTTTCAACAGATGAAAGATGTTTTCTTGTGGTAGTAGCTTAATAGCAAACTTAACTGGCAGGTGAGTGCAGTCTGCAAATAATCAGCAAAGCAGGTGTCAGGAGGTGCAGCGAAGGCAGAAAGAAAACAGACACTCGCTGTGTACACTGTAGCAAAGGTGCCACCAGCAACACCAAAGCAGGTCCGTGCATCTGGGTTAGGAGCCCTCTAACGTCTGTCTCAGGTCTGTCCGTGTACTGGACATGTACCCATCAAATTCATCTCTAACTCTTCAGTATTCAGCATGAGGCTTTACACAGTAAGTCCTCAAATGCATGTTGCTAAGCCACTGATAGGAAAACAAGCCACGAAGAACATACAGGTTTATATGCCTGTAATGCAACTGTAGGAGCCAACAAGTCTTTTCTCATAAAAATGGGTAACAGTTGGGAAGACCAGAATGTTCTTGGGGAAAGCAATGACCTTTCAGTCTCCAGGCACTGGTGAAGGAAAGGACCTCCATGACCACTTCTAAATATTCAAGGCGTCTTTTAGGGTCAGTATCATTTCTGATTAAGAAAGCACATGCGTTTTCACTCTGCTGCCGACAACTCAAGCCCATGCACGCACAGAGCTTGCTGCCTTCGGGATACCTCTCGGACACACTCTGGGAGGGCTGGGCCTACAGAGGCATCCTGTTGCCTTCAATGCTGAACTTGACAGCACGGTGCACTTTGCTGAGCCGTTTCTGTTCTGCGAATCGCCTCTTATGCTTCTCCAATCGGCTTAGGCCCTTTTTAAGAATACCAGGCTAGAAGAGTAGTTTGATTGGAGAATAAGGAAAGATCACTAAGAAACACGGATGATCATGAGTGGTGTTTATAACAACAGAGGAAGTGTCTACTCTATTTCAAAACACAATTGCTTAAACAGTTGAGAAAAAGCAGGGTAGATGTGTGCAAACAGGTAGGCTCTGTTTATCACAGTTTTAAAACTAAACAAAGAAACCGCATCAGAACATTCTAGGTATCAAGACCCTAAGATGAAACTTCCTGGCTTGATCATGTTGCTTTCAGTCCAAAGAAAACTTCATCAGCAATAAACTGTCAGCTTGGGTAAAGCTTCCCGTTCCTCTGACTGCTTGATTTGTGATTTGGACAAATTAAAGAGGTGAAAACAATTCTCTCAGACTGTTTCAGATCTATCTCAGATAGACCTCAGAAGCTACAAGGAACATCAAACCTGAAGCAAAAAACAAACAAAAAACCCCAAACCACCAGTAGTCCTTATCTGAGATCCACTTGTCTGCTCCACTGCTTGCTTACCCGGGACGACTCCATTTCCACGTTCCACTTGGGCCTCACAACATAGTCCTTGTTCGAGGGCATTGGGACTCTCGCACGGGCACAGAATCCCGGATCTCCAGGTCTAAGAGCTCTGAGAACAGGAAAAGGGAAACCACGCTGCAAACTCAGTCAGCAAAGGCAGGGGCCCATCGGTGGCCCTCATTCTGGTTGCCAGGCCCACCCCATTCAGCTGCAATGTTCAAAATCGCTGCCCTCCCAAGGTCACCCAATACCTCTTGCAGCTGTCTCTCTTGAGCATCTATCTCATCACACCTAGTACTGGACGAATTCCTCACTTCTGTCCAAAGCCAGCTCCCTCCGCACTGGCATGATCCCTTTTCACCTCTCCTCAGCCTCCTGTCTCACTGCTTTCCAAAGCAGGCCCCTCCAGCAAGACCCAGAATCCCAATTTCTCTGATCTAGTGGAGGCCACTTGTGAGGGTAAAAATCAGGTAGATAAAAATGACCCCCAACACCCGTAGTATGCCCATAAAGTAGTTTATTCAGTTTTGTAGACGCAACTCACATTTATTTATTTATTTATAGACAGGCAGAATGGACAGTGAGAGAGAGAGTGAGAGAGACAGAGAGAAAAGTCTTCCTTTGCTGTTGGTTCACCCTCCAATGGCCGCCGCGGCCGGTGCGCTGCGGCCGGAGCACCGCGCTGATCCGATGGCAGGAGCCAGGAGCCAGGTGCTTTTCCTGGTCTCTCATGGGGTGCAGGGCCCAAGCACCTGGGCCATCCTCCACTGTACTCCCTGGCCACAGCAGAGAGCTGGACTGGAAAAAGGGCAACCGGGACAGAATCCGGCACCCCGACCGGGACTAGAACCTGGTGTGCCGGCGCCACTAGGCGGAGGATTAGCCTAGTGAGCCACGGCGCCGGCGTTACAATAAGTTTTGTCTATTTCCTCTTGTATAAAATTTTGGTGATAATCACGGTATCACACACAGTTGCAGGAAATACAGAGTGAGACCCACTGTCTCTCCCAACAGCAACATGTCCCAAGACTACAGTACAGTATTACAACCCAGTGACCTTATTCACACTTGTCCAGTTTTCCTTGCACTCACCTGTGTTATGTGTACCTAGTTCTATGCAAACCTCAGAGAAACCATACTAGACTCAAAGAAGATCACCATCTTCCAGAAGGGAAGCCTATCTGTCCACGTCAGCATCCAAACCATTCCACCACCCACAGGTAACCCCCTCTGGTGGCAAACACACAGCATATGTCTGCTGCATGTGGGAGAGAAGGTGAAAAACTAAATGGCTTCTATTGCCTTGTACAGTGCACCATTTTAACATTAACTTCTATTACCTTCATATGTGTATGAGCAGACTAACTGGCTAGCCAAGAACATTTCCTGTACCTCCTTTCTCCCTGAAGCCGCTGTCTCATTAGCAAACTTACCTACAAACTACACCTGCTCCCTCTCTACCCCTTCTAGCTGATCTTCCAATCTCCTCTTGCTATCACGGTGCCGACTGCCAACGCTCACCACATAAACCACTCTGCACACCTGCCAGCGCCAGTGTGGAGGCTCTGCTTCAACACGCATGACCCACTATCACGCCCTTCATTGGCTACTCTGCCCGGCCATACCCCTGCACATCCCTTTTCAAAGGTGTTTAGCGAGGTTGCCAAGAAGGCAGAACAGCGAGGGAGGTTACTGCTGTAGTCTACAGGAAGATAGTTAAAAAAAAAAAAAAAAGTGGAGAGCATCCAATCTCAGGCAAGAGTTAGGGAGAAAACTTAAGAGGAAACTACATGCAAATTAAGAGGGACACTGTGGGCCTATGTGGAGGGTGTGGATGCAAACAATTCAGGACCCCAGCAGCCGAGAGCCTCAGTACCAGCTTTGGAGAATGAGGTGAGACCAGCCTGCAGCAGCTCAAGCCACTGGCGATAAAGCTGCAAAAGAGCTTGGCATGAGTCCAGCTTGGAGACCTATGGGGGACGGTGTACCTACAAACCTAGAGGAAAAAAAGGGGGCACATTTCTCTCTCTGCGGCCACTTGGCACCGGTGTCCTGGAACTAGGTGAGAGTAGGCGGGTGTATTTTGGACATAGAGAATAGCTGCGCCAGCAACCACCTGAGAGGAGACACCTGAGTCTGGCTGGAAGAATTGACAGATGGCTAGGTGCTCATGACTGTGGGAGCCTTGAGTGCTGGGACTGTGAAAACACTGTGGCTGCATGCGAGGGCGGAGGATGTGGCAGGGTCTTTGGGGCTAGTGCCCAGGTATTGCTCTCCTTTGAGAAGAGGAGGTGAGCATGAGACTATGTCAATAGAGATGAACAAACCTCCTCTCTGATGAAAAAAAAGATTTACCACATCCAACTTGAGTGTCACCTTGGACACTCCCTCACCCTGGAGTGCCGAACAGAGTTCCCTGGCCACACCCAGCACACGCCTCAGGGTATTCACTGAAAGAACAGACACTCCACTAAGCCACAGAGGCACAGTCCAAAGATAAAAGCCATCACAGAAAAACAAAAAAACACAAAAGAACCAATAAGTATCTCCACAAATGCCTAAAAATAAACAGCAATCCAAGAAACAAGAATAAGGAAGACAACATAACACCCCCAAAGGGACAACACTTCAATACCAGAATATAAAGATAAAGAGATTGAAGAAATGCCAAAAATGGAATTCAAAAAATTGATTGTAGGATTCCTGAGAGGTATTCAGGAGCAAATCCACAAATTAAAGAAATTCACTAATTACATGAATGAAAATTTTCCCCATGAAGTTGAGATTTTTTTTAAGAGAAATAAAAATGAAATATTGAATATGAAGAATTCAATAGATCAAATAAAAAATGTGGTGGAAAGTCTTAACAACAGACTCAGTGAGGCAGAAGAAAGAATATCCGAGTTAGAAGACAAATCTCTAGAAATTTTAATAAGACCAAAAAGAAGAAGAAATTAGAAAACTAAAAGCCAGTGTTGGAGATTTATGGGATACTATCAAATGACCCAACATATGGGTCTTAGGAGTTCCTGAACGCACGGGAAGAGAGAAGAAGGCCTTTTTAGTGAAATGATTACAGAAAACCCCCCTAATTTGGAGAAAGAGACGTCCAAGTACAAGAAGCACACAGAACTCCTAATAGACATGACCAGAAAAGACCTTCACCACGACACAATATAATCAAACTCTCCAGAGTAAAACACAGAAAAAATTCTAAAATGTGTACAAGAGAAATGCCAAATTACTTCCAGAGGATCTCCAATTAGTCCCACAGCTGACTTATTATCAGAAACCTTACAGGCTAGGAGAGAATAGGGAGATACAGCCCAAGTCTTAAGAGAAAAAAACTGTCAACCCGGAATACTGTACCTGTAAATCTCTCATTTATGAATGAAGGTGAAATAAAGACATTCCATAACAAACAGAAATTGTTTTATGTGAACATAAAACATCATTTCCTTTACTATTTTCTTTTTTAAAGAAGAAAAATTAATGGAAAAAGCTTACTTCTCTTCTCCTGTTAACACCTTTTCCAGGTCTCTGCGAGGTGTCTGACCACCAGTGCTAGGAAAAATAAACAATGAGATATCAAGAATATTAGACAAAAACTAAGACAAACTTAGACAAAAAACAAGTCACACTTAGCTCATATTTACACTGCATCAGGGAATAAAACTCCAAATCTATATATATATACATACACACATATATATATTTGGTTTTTTTTTTTTTTTTTGATAGAGTGGACAGTGAGAGAGAGAGACAGAGAGAAAGGTCTTCATTTTTCCATTGGTTCACCCCACAGTGGCCGCTGCGGCCCGCACACCATGCTGATCCGAAGCCAGGAGCCAGGTGTTTCTCTTGGTCTCCCATGCAGGTGCAGGGCCCAAGCACTTGGGCCATCCTCCACTGCACTCCTGGGCCACAGCAGAGAGCTGGACTGGAAGAGGAGCAACTGGGACAGAATCCGGCACCCTGACCGGGACTAGAATCTGGTGTGCCGGTGCCGCAGGCAGAGGATTAGCCTATTGAGCTGCAGCGCTGGCTTATGTATATATATTTTAAGATCCATTTATTTGAAAGGCAGGATGTTGGGGAGGGGTGGCAGGAGATGGAGAGAGACTGATCAGCTGGTTCACTCCCCAAATGCCTGCAAGAGCCAGGGCCAGGCCAGACCAAAGCCAGGGTCCAGGAATCCTGGATCTCCCTCGTGGATGCCAAGTACTCAAGCACTTGGGCCATCATCCACTGCCTTCCCAGGCCAGGAAAGCTGGATTGAAAGCAGAGCAGCAGGCACTTGAACCCACCCACAACTCCTATCTTTGAAAAGTACAACTCATTTTAGTATTCACATGCACAGTACAGGAATCTGGCTCTGGGTGAGCCATACTGCTGTATCTGTAACTAATGATCCTTCTCTCCTGGCTGTACAATACTGATACCAACCAGCCAACAGCATTTTTATTTTCTCTTAAGAATTTGGAAATGGTACTGAGAAAGAGGACGTTTCCCCTCACAAGTGGTTGGAACACACTCCCCAGCATGGAGGGAGACCATGTCCCCCAGGCCCAACAGGGAAAGGTCTTGGTGGGGGGAGAGGAGTGGCGGGAACTTCACTATCCATGATCATATTTACACCAAAGGACACTACGAACCACACAGACATATCAAGCTAAGAGCAAAGATGAATCCCTACCATCTCACAGCTTTCCTCATTATTTACTTACATTCCCACTGCCCAACAAAAACCCTGAGCTGCTGGCAACACAACATTTATTTCACTTACTCATACCTGTTCCCTCATACCTGTTCATTCTTCGTCGCTGAGGCATTTGCTCTAGATCTCTCTGTTCCCTTTCTTCTCTTGTCATTCCTTTGTAGTTTGAGGTAAGACCAAATATAGGTCGAGACCACTCATCTAAAGAAAAAAAAAACAGTATTTCTCCTACCACTGTTTCAAATACTCACATCCTAGTGTGAGGGGATATACAGATCTCATTATTTCAGCACCACATACAAGATAAACATAGCAGACTATCTGTATCGTAACTAATTCTGGGTGATTCGAAAATACAGTGTAAAAAAACCAGTAATCACTGAAAGGATTTAAAGTAAAATGTGACCCACTTTAAGAGTTTTCAACTGGATGGGCTGACATTTTACAAAGATAAATTCTCTTTTTAAAAGGAAGCCTAGAGGGCTGGCATGGTGCACTGGGTTGAGCTGCCAGCTTTGACACCAGCATCCCATATTCACAGCACTGGTTCAAGTCCTGGCTGCTCATCTTCTGATCCAGCCTGGTGTTAATGTTAATGTGCCTGGTGTCAGCAGCACATGGCCCAAGTGCCTGGGACTCTGCCACCCACATGGGAGGCCAAGAGGAAGTTCTAGGATCCTGGCTTTGGCCATCTGGGGAGTTAACCAGCAAAGGAAGATGGAAGGCATCTTCCTCCCTCCCTGCCTCCCTCTCTCTGTAACTCTGCCTTTCAAATAAATAAAAACAAGCTAATTTCCTAAGCTTATTCCACTGGAAATACAAAATCTTGAAATTCTCCCACCTTCTTAACCAAACCAAATATAGCTCTTTTGTTACTTGTCAAGATGGTCTAAACGTTTCTAAATTTTTTTTTTTTTAAGATTTATTTATTTATTTTAAAGTCAGAGCTACACAGAGAAAGGCGAGGCAGAGAGAGAGAAGTATTCTGTCCGATGGTTCACTCCCCAGATGGCTGCTCCAGCCGGAGCTGTGCTGATCCGAAGCCTGGAGTCAGGAGTTTCTTCCAGGTCTCCCAGGTGGGTGCGGGGGCCCAAGGACTTGGGCCATCTTCCACTGCTTTCACCAGGCCATAGCAGAGAGCTGGATTGGAAGAGGGGCAGCCGGTACTAGAACCGGCGCCCATATGGGATCCTGGAGCATCAGGCCCGGGCGTTAACCCGCTGCGCCACAGCACTGGCCCCTCTAAATGCTTTTAAAAGATATTTTACTACTGTAGGTGTAGTCTTCATGAATTCTGATAAAGCTGCTAAGGACCATGAAGACAAGTGCCACAGGACTACAGCTCTAGTCACTAAACTCCACAGGTGCCAACTGATGTCTCTGTTCTAAAACATAATGTAGTTTATTGCTTCATTTTATGTACAATATAAACCAAGAAAGGAGCTTTACAGATAGAACACAGGAGCTGTCACGCTAGAAAGCAAGGATTTTCAAGGGGTCCACGTATCATTTAAAATAGCCCCACTGGGGCTGAAGTTGTGGCACAGAAGATTAAGCCACCACTTGGGATGTGACATCCCATACCAGAGCGCTGGTTCAAGACCCAGCTACTCCACTTATGATCGAGTTCCCTGCTAATGTGCCTGAGAAAGCACTGGAAGATGGCCCAGTGCTTGGGGCCCCTGCCACCCACACAGGAGACCTGGATTCCAGATGGATTTCCTGGCTCCTGGCTTTGGCCTGGCCCAGCCCTGGCAGCTGTGGTTCTTTAGGGAGTGAACCAATAGACCAAAGATTTTTCTCTCTGTCTCTTCATCCCTGTCACTATGCCTTTTAAATAAATAAATAAGCCTTAAAAGCAATTTAAAAAATAACCCCTTGACCCCTGCTTGAATCCAATCCAGAATCACTATCGTACCAAGTCATAGCCACCAATGGGAATACTCTGCTTCTCTGAAAAGAGGCAAAATAACTAAAAGAGGCATGAACAACTGCATGAAAGCACAAAAACTTATCATTTAATAGCAGTAGACTGCAGATTAACAATAAAGATGGTAATACTCTGGATTATCAAAGAATTTTGTTTCTAAAAGCTTCTGATAATTTTCAAAATTCAACAGGAAAATAAAGTTACCACAGTCAAATACAGAATTACTTTTTTAATCTAGCTTTAAAGTTTTAAAAATTCCTTTCCAACAGAGAGCACAGGAAGAGTTAAGCACAACAAAGGCAAACATGTATTTTGTTCTTAAAACTGAAGGATTTGGGGGCTAAGCATCTGGCCTATGGGTTAAGACGACACTTCGAGACACCTGCCTGCGATACTGGAAAGCCTGCATTCGAGTCCCAGCTCCATTCTGGATTCCAGCTACTGTTAATGTACACCCTAGGAGGCAGTGGTACTGGCTCAAGTAGTCTGGTCCCAGCCACCCAGGTGGGAGACGTGGACTGAGTTCCCCGTTCCTGGCTCTGGCCTGGTCCAGCCCTGGCTGTTGCAGGCATTTGGGGAGTGAACCAGGACAGGAGCTCTCCATCTTGTCTCTCTCTCTGATTTCCAAAAAAATAAAATAAAATAAATAGTTTAAAAAGGGAACCTTAAAGGTTTCAAAAACAGTATGGCAGCATTCAATTCCCTGATTTTCAATTTGACTCCTCTGGATTTTCTGGTATCATTAAATAAGAACATGTTGAAAGTTTTGGAGACCATTACGTGAGTAACAGCAGCAGCAGCAATGGCTAACATTATATGTACTTATATGTACCTTCTCACTTAATCTCTGTAATAACTAAAGGAAAACACACAATTACCTCAGTTTCACAAAGAAAGAGACCAAGGCTTAAGAGTATAAATCAGCAGCTAAGGCCACACAGGGAGGAAGGTGGAGAACCCCTTATTTGAAGCACAGCCTGCATCCTAAACACTCTCTCTATGCTCTCGATCCACGACTAAAACATGCAAACTTTCACCTGCTGTCTCTGAGACTGGTCAGCATACTTAAAAAAGGCTGAGATGCAGCGTAGGTCTAAGAAAAAGAGATGATACCCATTAAAAATTTAAAAATATTCTACTCTACTGACTCAATTTACACAAATACTGTTACAAATATAGTTAGTTTTCACATATACATGTTTCCATATAAACACAGAGACAAACAAAAGGCAAATTTACATACTGATTAATTTCCCTGCCATGTCCTTGTTGGACCTTGACTCCTTGGGGTGTTTATAGAGATACATCACTGCTCGTCCAATACCACTGTGTTTCAGCGTCTCCTGGCTCACACTAGGCAGCTGGGGAACACAAACACATACACACACATTAATCACTCAGAGCCCTGCTCTTCTACTCTAGAGAACCTACAAGACCCAGAGTCCACTCACATTAGAACACAGAAAACATTCCGCTTTCAGGTTCTACAGACACTGATGCCGTGTTCATGCTGAAAGCTGAGAGCTGACTATCACCACAAAACTAATATAAAATCTAACAATGTGAGGAAGTATCAACTAAGCAAACTCGCAGGTCAGCAGTTTAATATAGGAATTAGCACACTGCTCTGAATCCAACAGATTCAAAACTGAATCCAAGCACAGCCATTTTCCAGGTATGCAACCTTGGATAAGTCACTTCAGTTCTGAGTCTTAATTTCCTCATTTGTAAAATGGAGCCAATACTTCCACCTAACAGGCTTCTTGTGAGGAACAGATGAACCAAAACATGTACACAGCACCCAGCACAGTGCTGGGCACACAAGAGGTTCCTCTGGTGTTGCTTCAGAAGTCAAGTAGCTTGCCCAAGGCATCAGTCACATAAAGGTGGTCCAGCTTAAGGTTCAAATACAGGGCCAGCGTTGTGGCTTAACAGATAAAGCCACCGCCTGCAGTGCTGGCATCCCAATGGGCGCCGGTTCAAGTCCCAGCTGCCCCACTTCTGATCCAGCTCTCTGCTAAGGACTGGGAAAGCAGTAGAAGACGGCTCAAGTCCTTGGGTCCTGCAACTGTGTGGGAGACCCAGAAGAAGCTCCTGGCTCCTGGATTCAGATTGGCCCAGTTCCAGCCATTGCTGCCATTTGGGGAGTAAACCAGCAGATGGAAGACCTCTCCCTCAGCCTATCTAATAAATAAATAAATAAATCTTAAAACAAAACAAAAAACGTTCAAATACAAGTTCATCTGACTCTGTACTTGGTGCACTTCCTATTTCAAGTGCCTTCCCAGAGTATGTCCACTATTGTACTACTGCTCAGGTACACCACAGGGACTCAAGATCTTTTTCAGGCCTTTCCTTTTATGCCCATTTTATTAGGCACATTCCTTTTTCCCAATCCCTCTCCTAGCAGGCTACCACAGAGAGAATGCATAAATACAAAGTAGTAGTGAAGTTATAATCATATAGACCCATTAGATAATTAAAGAACAAGCAGTCAGATAATCTGCCTCTAACCTCTTGGAGAATTTTCAATAGCTCTTCTCGAATCTTCAGTGCTGGCAAACTCCGATCTGGCAGGGGTGAGAGCCACTCTTTGATGGCAGACATCACACCACTGTCAATGAATGTTTCTTTAAGGTCCTGCCTGCAATAGCAAAAAATTTTTTAGAAGTAAATTAAACTCCTAACTCTATCTTCCTAGATTTTCTTACATATTTAGTGGTTTCCAAAAATTGCTTTTAAAGAGTTACTTATATACATTCAATATTTATTGAGCACCTCTTCCAGTTTCAGGAGTAGTGTGAAATTCAGTTCCTACTTGTAGGAAAGTACAGTCCCAACAGGTAAAGATGACATGCTGAAATCAAAACAAAGCAAACCCAATCTATACCAAATACATTAATGCTACTATGAATGGTACAGACAGCAAAAACAAAGAACTCCAACTATTACAACTAAAAGATACAATGTTTAATGTATTAGAATGGTAGTTTTCAAACAGTGTCAGGAGGCAGAGGATGAAATACATTACTCTTTGCAGGACACCAGGGAAAACATCATTCTTCCAGCAGAAATAAAGTATCAACAAAATAGTGATTTTAAATTCCACTTTATATATTAGAATCAGTTATGCTAATAGAAAACCTGACAACATTATACTTGTCCATATGAAATCTGTCATAGTTCTGCCTGTTGGGACAGGAGAAACAATTTTCTAATGACACATTTCTTAGACCACACTGGTGGCTCACTGAGACATTTCTTCAACAACCAAAAGCAGAACACACATTGGTTCAAAGAACGTCAGGCTGCTGATGAATATTAGCAAACCAGTGAAAGAACTTGGTGACAAGAATCTATTAAGAAAGGGCAATTTCATTTCAGAAAATCAAAGATCATGATGCAGGACCCCAGGTGAACCTTGGACAACATGTGCTTCAACAAGTCTCCCAAGAGCTGCGGTTTTCAGTCACTCTGGGAAAGCAGAGGCAACTTCATTAGACCCAAAACTGTCTAGCAGGCACACTTCCCAAGTTTTTTTTTTTTTCACTAATATCAGTTTTCCAATTTAATCTACTTTTATTAAGTGTAAAAAATTATGGAAAAATGTAATTCAGAAAATGCTGTTATTGTTTTTCTGTGATTTCACACAGAGCTATCATTACTTAATACCTCTAGAGTATCAGTACGAGTATCATTCCATTAAAGGGAAATTTTTTTTTTCAAGAAAATAACAATACTTACTTCTTAAGGTGCATAACCACAGTAGGTAATAAAGTTAATTTTTTCAGTGCTGGTTTTTTCTGATTGTTCAACTGTCTGTCTTCCTATTCAAAAAAAGATTTTTAAAAATCAGTACTGCTTGTTTATGGTAAATTGTTAACTACTGTAATTGTGAATCTTAAAATAAAACAAAGCAAAATAAAACAAAGTAGTTTGAATAATCTCATTTAACAATTACAAACAAAGAATAATTCTAATTTAAAATATCAGCATAATTATCAAAGTTTTCAAGAATGCATTCAAAGTACAAATTTCACCTGGGAAATCTTGGTTTATCACCAGCAATAATTTTCTATGTTGTGAGGCTTATAGAGAATTGAATAATTATCAAAAGAGAGTTTTAGTATTTACTTTGGAATGTTTTTCTATTTTTTTCATGAAAATATTCACATTTCCAAATACTTAATATCGCTGTCATGTACATTTCAAAAACTAAAAACATACGGCCATATTTCAGCTAGCTCTCTTAGCTACTTCTCCACTGCTGAGTTGTTTTGAAACTCATTGAATCCATTAGTATTTTGTCACATCTCTAAAAAATCAAATTCATTTTTAAAACATAATAGCCAATTTTAACACTTTTGGCAGATTTTAGATTTTTGTTTCTTAAAATTTATCATTTTATTTTAAAAATATTTATTTGAGAGGCAGACACACAGAGAAAGTTCTCATCTATTGGTTTACTTCTCATCTATTGGTTTACTTCTCAAATGCCTAGAACAGTTGGGGCCAAAGCTGGGAACCAGCAACTCAATCCAGGTCTCCCATGTGGGACATAAAAACCCAATTACTTGAGCCATTGCCTCTCAAAGTCTGCACAGGTGGTGGGGGGGTCAGAGCCGGGAATGAAACCCAGACATTCTGATGTAGGGATGTGGGTATCTTAACTACTAGGACAAACATTCACCCAGATTTCGCAGAATGTAATGAGTTAGATGCAGGGCAAGTTTGTAACACTTTTTATATATGAGGAGATATCAACTTTTGCCGTGAGCTGGCCAAATCTGAGGACAAACCATGCCCCCCTAAAACTAACAAGGCAAGGGCAGGTGTGTCCCACAGCAGTTGGGCCACCACATCGTATGCTGCAGCGCCTGGGGTTGAGTGCCAGCTCCATTTCCAATTCCAGCTTCCTGCTAATGCCTGGAGGTGATGGCTCAAGTGCCTGGATCCCTGCCACCTGCCTGCAAGACCCTAACTGAGTTCCTGGCTCCTGGCTTTGGCCTGGCCCAAGGCTTGCTATAGTAAGCATATGGGGAGAGAATCTGTAGACGGGGGATTTCACTGTTTGCCTCTATCCCCCTGAAACAAACTATCATCAGCCTTAGTCTTTTCACTTTTTAAAAAACATGAATAAATAAAAAATCATTTTCATGCTTAAAAGTTTAGAACAGTGAAAGCTTTACTGAAAAAGCAGTATCTTACTGTGGTTTAAGTAAGGATTAAGTATTTCAAAAAGGTAACTCAACCAATTCAGTAGGGGATGGAAAAAGTGAACCTAGAAGCAACACATCTCACCTCAGCGGCTTCATTCATCTTGACAATCATGGCACTCACGACGTCATCTGCATCACTGATAAAGGTGCCACCATCCCGGTTCCGCCTACGCTTGCCACTCATGCTCTTTTTCCGCTGCAACATCATCTCAAAATCCGACAGGAAGTCCATACTAAGCAGGAACACAAAATCAAGGGAGATCTAAGCTCCCTTTTAAATATGTATTTCTTTTATTACAACTAAGAACACCAAATTTCCTAATTCTGATGATGTAGTAAGTGCTACCTTCTTTTAAAAAATGTAAGCACAACTACTACTGAAATACCAGCTGATCTTACACTCCCATGTTTGACTCCTTCACACCCTCAACTGAAACACATCAATCACTAACAGCCTCAAACTTCTCAAACACTGGATTCACACTGGCATCCATTAGCCCACAAAGAAGCACCCCAGGTTCTCATTCTGGGAACTCATGCAGCTTTGGCTACACTGTCCTTTTTTCAGAATAGAAAGATATTCAATTACTTCACTACTCTTGTCTTAGCATGCACAGAAAAAACTAGGAAAACTGCTGCTTCATAGTGGTAAGAAACACAACTCTCAACACAATGTGACTGAGATAAAGATGGAAATCTCTAGGCTTGCTAAGGGCCTCAGAACTTTACAGCTTTCATCAGAATCATTACAATTAAGACAGGAAGAACTCCCTCTACCACTCTCATATAAATGAAATTTCCGAAAGTACTGCCAAACTCTTTCAACTTAATTCTTCACATCACTAGAAATTAGTAAGCAAACTTTTTTAAAAAAATTATCCTGACAACAGTAAACAATTACTAATCATTCCAAGCTTGCAAAAACTCTTTCAAGATATCAGAATTTTGCTAAAGAAAAATCCCAAATATCTTCCAAAAGCACATGAAATACAATCAAGCAATACTTTGTAATTGAGAGTTTAGACTTACTTCCTCTGCCCCCAAACCAGCTTTTCTAATAATGTATTTTTTGAATCAGGTTATTCTTCAGAACAGTTTACGTGGTGAGCCAAATTAAGAATGTGGTGCCATAAAAATACAACTCTACAAATTAAGACATCTGAGCACAGGGAAAACACTTGAAAAAGAAAAATTATAATAGTTAGGAATTCAATGACACTGTCCTCATTCACAGAAAAGCCAAAGAAGGGGGAAATGAGAACATACTCTAACCTGTACTTCATGAGGAACAAAATGAGACAAAAGAAGTTTGTCTCTATCTTCATATTGTAAACTCTCCTTAAACAAATTCGTAGAGGAAAAAAAAACACAAAAACTTACTGTTTTCCTCTCTTTATGTTATCATCAGAATCTGAATCTTCAGCCTCTTTTACCTGGGTTTCACCTTTTTCTTCTTCCAAATCTTCTTGGTTAAAACCCTAAAGGCAGGGTGAGTGAGCTAAAGTTATTACAACAACCCACACACTTTACTCTGTACAACTGATCTCAATTTTTTACATTTCTACAGTAAAGAATAAAAATTAAAGATATCAAAAGGTGAGTAGCAAAAGCTCCCTCCCTTGTAATTAAAGTTACTAGTTTCTTTTGTTTCCTTCCAGAAATAGTCTATATTTACCTAAGTGCTTCTACAGCTAGCAGGGGTCTTGAAAAAGTTCATGGAAAATGCCATGTTCTGAAAAACCCATGAGTGAATTTCAAAAACGGCAGGATAAACTTATGCTTCCATCCCACACTCTCTGTGACCTTTCTGAAGTACTGTCCTATACATGTAAGCTCCCCCCAACCTGGATGATGCGAACGGCAGCAGCGCAGTGTTCACAATGGGCCCGTGAGACTGCTCCGCTACTGCTACACTGAACAAGACAACGTGGAGACCAACTCATGTCAGCATAAAATATTCTCATTTGTTTTAAAGCTTTATATTAATTCACCATCTCACTGGAACCCTAATTTGCAATTTAAAATTGAGGAACATCTGCCAAACTGTCTTCCCTGGAGATTACACCAACCATCCCTCCTTCTCCAAGTCGTCCGCTTCTCACTACCACAGCAGGTGACCATACAATGATCTCTGCCCATCTCTGGACCAAAAACGAAAACTCATCTTAAGGCACAGTTTTATTCATATTCGTGGACATTTTTTCTTGTTTAAGAAAACATTTTTGGGGGCTGCCATCGTGGTAAGCAGGTTAAGCTGCTGCTGGCGATACCCACATCTTGCATCAGAGTGCCAGTTTGAGTTCCACCTCCTCCACTGTTTTCAGATTCAGCTCCCTGCTAATGTGCCTGGAAGGCAGGAGATGTTGGCCCAAATCCTTGGGCCCCTGTCACCCACGTGGGAGAAATGGATGAGATTCTCGGCTCCTTGCTTTGGCCTGACATAGTCCAATGGGGCAGGCGTTAAAGAAGTAAACCAGATCTCTGTCTCTCCACAACCTCCCCCCAACTCCATCATTCTGCCTTTCAAATAAATAGATAACGTCAAAACTTTTCAAAATTAGCCTTCTGGAAATGACAGAACTGCACATTCCCAACATTTGTAGAGTTTGATTTTGTTTATACTACTGCTTACTAGGTTTAATTTTTCACTTTAAAAAATAAGATTTATTTATTTGAAAGACAGAGTGACGGACAAGGAGGGAAAGACAGTTCAATCTTCCATTTGCTGGGTTCATCTTCCAAATGCCTACAACAGCCAAGGCTGGGCCAGGCTGAAGCCAGGAGCCTGGAACTTCAATCATGTCTTCCACGTGGGTGCAGGGGCCCAAGGATTTGGGCCACCTTCTGCTGTTTTCCCAGGCTTATCAGCAGGGAGCTGGATCAGAAGTGGAGCAGCCAGGCCTCAAACCAGCACTCTGTATGAAATGCCAGTGTTGCAGGCAGTGGCTTAACCTGCTGCGTCACAACATCAATCCCAATTTTTCACTTACCTATGTAAATGAAATGGCTGGTGTTTTTCTTCACAGCTTCTAACTTTTGTGTCCTAGAGCAGCCTTCCAGTGGTTTACTGACTCACTGTGTCATTTCCCTCACTGAACCAAACTCTAACCTCATTAGAGTTACCTCTGCCAACTAGGGAAGTGCATCTCACGCCTGTATCACAGTGCTTCATGGAGTACGAGCTCCACAAGGACAGTGTTCTGAAATACGTGTTGGAAGAATTCTCCTGTTTCCCCTAAGCTTACTTCACTATCTTTTGCCCTTTTTCCTTTCTGTATCTCTACCCTTCCACCTTAGAGTTTTCTTTCTCTGTATTTTCTTTATCTGGTACATTAATTCCCTCCTTATTTCATCTTCATGTCTGAAATGCATTGTCAATGAACTAAAAGAATCCTCAATTTATAGTTTCTGTATTCTGTTGAGAAATCAGCTCTTAGTCTAATCACTGCTTTCCTGAGTGTCATTTTTTCCTGTGGCTCTTTTTAAGACTCTTATTTTCTGATTTCTTGCAGCTTTGTGATGATATTTTAGGGGCAGACGTCTTGCAATCCGTAAGACCTCTAGAATCAATATTTCTTTAAATATTGCTTTTGCTATTTATGTATTTTTCCCTCTCTTTCAGGTACTCCAATTCATTATGTTAAACTTTTTCTGGTAGAACCTGTGTCCTCTATTTTCTTTTACATTTTCCCTAATAATGCACCTCAATGCTTCATTCTAGATATTTCCTTCTAAGCTATCTTCCAGTTCACTAATTTCTTTTCAAATACATCTAATCTGCTATTAAATTAACCACTGTGTTTTTTAAATTCAGTTTGTATAGTTCTGGAATTTCTGACTGGTTCTTTTCAAATCTGCCTCGTCATTTTAAAAAACTTGCTCTGACAAAATTTTTAATCTTTTATCTCTCAGAACATTTTTTAAGGCAATGCCTAAAATTCCTGTATCTGTGGAATAGCTGTATCTATTCCTACTATCTATTGTCACTATTTTTTTCTCCTAAGGTTTTGTGTATCCTATTGCATATACCAAAGCCTTGATTCACTAAAATTTAATTTTTGATACTCAGGTTCTGTCTGCTGGGTAACTCAAAGCTGGCCTGAAGACCTAAGCAAAGGTTACTTCACTTCTAGTTCACCTTAGGTGTAAGCCCTAGTCCACGGCATGGGGTTACAGAGCCCCCTAACCTCACCTGCCCTGCATTTGCAATTCTGGCCCCAAGCCTTGACACTGCCAAAAATATGAGCAGTCTCTTAGCATGGCGGGAAATCAGGCCCAGAGAAGGAGCAGCTTTCAATGCTGAGAAACCTCTTCAGGTTTCTGTCTTTGGCTAGGGAATTTTTTGCTAAGGTAAGTAGATTTTAAAATATTTTGTACAGCTTTTCCAGTTGTTTTCAGAAGAGTTCATTCAAATTACCAGACTGTCACTGCCAGAATCTAAGTTCCATAACTACCACGAATGATACCCTTTATGATAAAGTGACTCTCCTCATGTCTTAATATGTCCTTCCCCACTTTAATTTTGCTTGTTATTTTCATTTCACACTTTTGGACACCCTTAAATTTCACTTACAGAATCCCTTTCTTGTGCATTTTTCTTCTGAATACATCATAATTGTTTTCTCCTACTTAATACAACTGCCCTGTTAGAAAACCAACAGCCATAAAACCAACAAAAAAAGCATAGTCAAAAGGGAACGATTTCCACCTTATACTTACCGTAAATTCTTCTTCCTCTTCATCACCAGATTCCCCAAATATGTCTGCAATGAGATTTCTAGAAAAGAAACAAATATAACATCCATTTGCTCTCTTCCCATTTGCACAGGAACCACTTTTAAAAACAGGATAAAGTCAGAATGGGCACTGTGGTATAGTGGGCTAAGCCTCTGCCTGTGGCACCAGCAGCCCATATGAACACCGGTTCGTATACTGGCGGTTCCCCTTCCAATCCAGCTCTCTGCTACAGCTTGGGAAAGCAGCAGAGGATAGTCTAAGTGCCTGAGTCCCTGCACCCATGTGGGAGACCTAGAAGAAGCTCCTGGCTCCTGGTTTCAGATCAGCCCAATTCCAGCCGCTGCGGCCATTTGCAGAGTGAATCAGCAGATGGAAGACCTCTCTCTCTCCCCCCCCCCCAACCCCCTGTAACTCTACCTCTCAAATAAACAAATAAATCTTTAAAAAAAAAAAATATATATATATATATATATATATAGTAAAGTTTACATATAGCAAAACATGCAGACCTTAACCGTCCAGGCTTAATGGTTTTTTTTGGACAGGCAGAATTACAGTGAGAGAGAGAGAGACAGAGAAAGGTCTTCCTTTTGCCATTGGTTCACCCCCCAAATGGCCACTAAGGCAGCGCACTGTGCCGATCAGAAACCAGGAGCCAGGTGCTTCCTCCTGGTCTCCCATGCGGGTGCAGGGCCCAAGCACTTGGGCCATCTTCCACTGCCTTCCCGTGCCACAGCAGATTGCTGGACTGGAAGAGGAGCAACCAGGACAGCATCCGGCGCCCCAACCGGGCCTAGAACCCGGGGTGCTGGCACCGCAGGTGAAAGATTAGCCAAGTGAGCCGCAGCGCCAGCCAGGCTTAATGGGTTTTAATAGATGCGTACAAGATAGAACCCCATCTCCCCAGAAAATCCCCTAGGGCCCCAACAAGTCACCCCCTCCAGTAGCACCCTAAAGGCAATCACTCTGATTTCCATCACCACAGTTTTGGTTGTTCGTGAACTTTACATAAATGCAATCAGGTAATAACTATGTATTACACTAATACATAATAATTATGTATTACACTAATAAACTAATGTATTATTTTGAGATTCACCCATGTTGTATCATGTTAATCATTCAGGAACCAACATCCTGAATCCTCAAAGTCATGCGATTAGGCAGGATATATTATACCTCAACATAAAATCTGAATACATTTGAAAAACTTGAAGGATGAAGCCCTCTCTACTACTCATTAAGAACCCTTGAAAACTCACTTCATACTGTCACTTACTCTTCTTCATTGCCTGACTCACTATCACTTCCAAATAGATCTTTCTCTTCATTCTTCTTATCAGACAGCTCTTTCCCTGCTTCTTCCTCGCTCTCAGATGCGACAGCCTTCTCTCTTTTGCCTGGCGGAACATCACTGTCAGAGTCGTCTGCATCAGAAACAACACGACTCTTCTTCGCTGCGGCTGAAGAAGAAAAACCATCACTGATGTTACTTTGTCACGGTCACTGAAGTACTGCGCCTAACAGGTGCTGTAAAACAGCAGTGCGTGGCAACAAGGTCAATGGCCTCATGACACATCGTTTGGAGCCAAAAAAAAAAAAAAAAAAACCCAAAAATACAAATACACACCCTAAAAGCTCACGGAGAGTAACCTTACAAATTGCCTGTTATTCTGCTTAGGAAAAAATGGTCAAAGGATCCTGAATAGAAAAATCATCAAATACAAGTGGGCATCAACAGGTACTTTCCGTTTTGTGGGACAGAGTAAATCAAGAACAGGCTCATGTGCAGCATGGACATCCTTTCTATGCTGCTCAGTACAAGGAAAAGCAACAAGGACCAGACACTCCCTATCAGGAACATTCCGCGTGTTCCTTAATTGCTGCTGGGCAGTTTAAAATGGTCATCTTCTTCAACAGGCCAGCAGTATGCGATTCCTTCTCCTGTAATAACCATTGGGTTCTAAGAGAATAAGTCTTTTCCAAGAAAGAAAAGGAATCAAGTACAAATTACTATCCGTGAAAATGGAGTCTCAGCAAAGGCTGGATGGAATACTCTATGGAGTGGAATCTCTAAAGAGAAGAGGCAGCCCCCAAATCTTCCTGGATTGGTTTAGCAAATGAAGAGAAGTACCTGTTCCTGTTACTGTTTGGATGGAATCTAGTGAACCAGCTGTCAGAAACCCACAGCTAACTGGATGCATTCCGGGGTTACCAAGTGAAGATACTTCTGGGAAACATTATACTTTCCAGCAAAAAAAAAAAAAAAAAAAGCTTAGGTCTTCTAAATTTCCATTGAACCATGGGCTACCTCATCACTTTGGGGCAACCAGAAATTAATAGGTGATACTTTAACAACTTGAAGGAAATTTCCTACAAATCTTACATAACAGAAATGACCACAATGCTGCAGTGACAAGGTTAGACAAGCTACTGGTAACAACCAAAATCATTCTTACGTGCTCTCTCTTCATCTTCACTATCAGAAAGCACAGCTTTTCGCTTTGCTGCTTTCTCCTCCTCACCCTCTTTTTCTCCATCTTCATCACTGTCCACTTTTTGCTTTTTGGGTTCTTCTTCCTCGCTGTCAGAGCTGTGGAATCTTTTTCTGTCCGTGTGGCCACCTGAAAGCACGGGGTCATTCTGCACTTCCGTCCCCTCACCCTTGTTTTCCCCATCACTGTCATCCGACTGGGGCTTCTGTTTGTGTCTGGAGGCACCCTCGGTTTCAGAATCACTGGCAGGTCCCTTCTGAGGCTCCTCGCTCTCCGAGTCACTGACCCGGGGTTTGGGGAGCTCCTCCGTTTCCGAGTCACTGGCCTGGGTCCTTGGGGGCTCCTCACTCTCCGAGTCACTGACCCGGGGTTTGGGGAGCTCCTCCGTTTCCGAGTCACTGGCCTGTGTCCTTGGGGGCTCCTCACTCTCTGAGTCACTGACCCGGGGTTTGGGGAGCTCCTCCGTTTCCGAGTCACTGGCCTGGTGCCTTGGGGGCTCCTCGCTCTCCGAGTCACTGACCCGGGGTTTGGGGAGCTCCTCACTTTCTGAGTCACTCATGTGAGCTTTGGGAGGGTCCTCATTTTCCGAGTCACTGGCTTGGTGCCTCGCGGGTTCCTCACTCTCAGAGTCACTGGCTGGAGGTTTCACAGCATCCTCTGCTTCCGAGTCACTGGCAGGACTCTTGCGGAGCTCCTCGGCCTCCGAGTCACTGGCGGCACGCTTTCTAACCTCTTCATTGTCAGAGTCACTCGCATGCCCGTTAAGAAGCTCCTCGTTCTCAGAGTCACTCCCAGGCACCTTCCTGGTCTCCTCACTCTCGGAGTCGCTCCTGCGCTGATTGGCGTCCTCGTTTTCAGAGTCACTTGCAGGGGGCTCAGCCTGCCCCTCCGACTCAGAGTCACTCTCCTTCTGCCTGTGCAGTTCCTCACTTTCCGAGTCACTGGCATGGAGGTGTGAGGGCTCATCGTTCTCAGAGTCTGTCACAGGATGTCTTTTGGTGAGGACATCCTCTCGATCACTGGATTCATTCTGAAAGAGAGGCAACATTAGAAAGATGTAAAAAAAAGTCTGGTAGTGCAACATAAACTTTCCAACAATTTTTCAGATCCAAGAATATGTAGACTTAACAGACACATCCTACTTTAAAGAAGGCCAATCTGTGAAACAGTTAACGTGGTTTGCATCTCAAAGTGGGGAAAGATGACCAGCTGTCACCAAATCTGTGAGGCACACACGGGAAGTTAACTGTAAAGAGTGAGTTTTTTTAAGAGCCTAAGTTTCTCATATAATTTTAGTTCCCAAAAATCTAACTATTTTTCAAAGGAACACAAGAAAGCATGTAACCAAATTGTCTTATTTTTTATCTGAAAAGCAGAGCGATAGAGAGAGATTCCCTAAACGCTGTACCACTTCCCTAACGGTCACAATGGCCAGGACTGGGCCACACCAAAGCCAAGAGCCTGGAACTCCATCTGGGTCTCCCACATGGGTGTCAGAGGCTTAATTACTTGGGCCATTTTTCACTGCCTTCCCAGGTGCATTAGCAGGGATCTGGACTGGAAGTGGAGCAGCCACGGACCTGGCATTCCAAATGGCATGTCAGTATGGCAAGCAACAACTTAGCCCCCTATGCCTCAATGTTGGCTCCACCAAGTGAAACATTAGGCTTTAGCACATTAAGATTATTATAGGGAAAAGAACTTTAAGATTTTATTTATAAAGGATAAATAATACACAGGGTACATTCAATGAAGAGAACCTAAACCGATGGAGAGAAGAGTAGTTTACATTCCTAAGCACCTAGTAAGACCTAATGCCACATCAGACATTCTGTTGGTTCTTTTATTCTGCACAATAGTGCAAACCCTCATGATAAAACAGAGGCTTAATGCAGCCATGGTCATCCACTTAGTAACCCTGGAACAAAAGCCTAAGTTTTAGAGAGAATAATTGGACTAACACATAAGGTTACTTGAAATAATTACTTTGAAATCACGCTTTAGGGTACAAACTCGATATATGCTTTGCTTTAAAAAAAAAAATCAGAAAAAATATACAAAATTAAACAAACCAAAATACCAGCATCTTAGGACCTGAGGAATTTTTCCCATACAGAATTTTAACCCTCAACAACACAGTATCTTGGCTTAAAAAGTGAGTCTGTGTTTGAGAAATCATCCTTAAAAAATTACTAAACCAAATATTTCTCTTCAGAATACATGACTGAAGATACATGAACTTACCCACAGATCAAATTTTGTTTTTAGAAAATAATTTAGTTTCACTTGAAAGGCAGAAGACATATCATCCATCCACTGGTTCACTCCCCAAATGCCTGTAACAGCCAGGGCTGGGCCAGGCCAGAGCAGGAGTAAGGGACTCCATTGAGCCAATCACTCAAGTCATCCTCACCCATTGCCTCCAAGGGAGAGCATCAGCAAGAAGAAGCTGGACGGCAAGGGGAGCTGAACAGGAGTACAGGTACTCTGTATTTTAATTGCTGGGCCAAATGCCTATCGCCTACCCCTACAAATCAATTTCCAAGGATCAAAGTGTCTTTAACAATGTACATGCCCACTATCATGCTATGAAACACTCAAGTGATAAGAGAATCCAGAGACAAGATAAATGGCATTAAAATACTTTCCCAGGGTTAGTGCTGTGATATAGCGGCTAAAACCGCCACCTGCAGTGCCAGCAACCTATATAGGCGCTGGCTCAAGTCCCAGCGGCTCCACTTCCGATCCAGTTCCCTGCTATGGCCTGGGAAAGCAGTGGAAGGTGGCCCAAGTCCGTGGGCCCCTGAACCCATGTGGGAGACCCAGAAGACGCTCCTAGCTCCTGGCTTCAGATCAGCACAGCTCCGGCAATTGTGGCCATTTAGGGGCTGAAACAGCAGATGGAAGATCCCTCTCTCTGTCTCTCCTTCTCTCTAATTCTGTCTTTCAAATAAATAAATCCTTAAAAAAAACTTTCCCAAAAGTGACAGTAATTTAGCCTAGGCTCGTTTAAGGAAGACCAAGGATGCCCTATCTGTCTACAACTTCCAAAAGAATACAAAAAATTACAAAAATAATCTACAAAGGAAAAATTGAGGGTGCTTTTTCCCCATATTTTGTTACCATCATACAACACAGCATTCCAAGGAAATAGCAACTGCTGTTTTTCATACACAATACCTGTCTCGTGTGGCACAATGGGGAAAGAAAGGAGGAGAAAGCACTGCAGTAAGAAAGCTCTGGTCAACAGATTCAAAGTAGAGGCTGCACCTAGCCAGTGACGTCACAGAATCCAGGAAGAGGGTATTAGTTAAAAACTATACAGTGATGCCATAAAGTTATTAAAATATTCAAAAATTTTAAGACTGGTTTCAGCAATTAAATTGCAAACTATAAAATACAATTTTGTGTAAGGCAGACGTGAGTACCGGTTTACAGCAGAAACTGTCACTTAAATGTTATTTTCTTAATAACACAAGAAAGTCCCTAGTTGTAGCTGTCAGAGAGTTCTCAGAGGCTTCAGAAATGTCTGTGATGCCTGAGACCACTTTCCAGCAACAGGGCACGCTGCAATTATAAATAACCGTTGCTTTACCCATCAGCATGAACAGCCTTGTTTATCTCAGCACACAAATAGTAACCATATTCCTCAAGGACTGGGGCCACCATCCATTACTGCAAAGTAAATAATAAAATTGTCATAAAGCACATATGAATTTATACATTTCAAAGCAGTCTGTTGTGAAACCAATGAGTTCATGACACTTGTTTCTTCTTTATCCAACAAAGCTACAGAACCCAAACAGCCGAACCTGCACCAGCCGATCACATAAACTGCAAAAGCACTCAATATTAAGTCACAGTAAACTCCATGTGGAAAACTGACAGAAATATTCCAAAAACATGTTTCACTGGATCCTAGCTCCAGAAGATACAGCTGAGATCTGCAGAGCGGAGTCTGTGGACATCTGTCAGTTTCGTTGGTACAAGAGAAGCCTGAGAAAACCCGCAGTGAAACAACCCAATGCTGTCAATACAGCGTAGTTCCTGGAGCTTTGAGAGACTCCAACTTTACCAGAAGCACACACATGATAAAATGAATCTATAAACTCAAATCCTCTGTTAATGGTGAGAGAGCCAAAAACAAAAGCAAGCCTGATGATAATGCAAAAACAAACGTACACAGGGCTGGAGATTTCACAATCACCAAACAGGCACATGCCCGCCTGCCTCTCCACACACATCTGTGCCCTCACCAATGTCACCCCTACACCATGCACTGGCAGTTTCCACAGCTCCCCAGGGGAGCTCTGAGGAAAGCCGTACAAACTTCTGTGCGTCTTACCTCCAGGTATCACTTAGGTCGGGAAAGTGCATAAGACCCTGTATTCTGACCTCACCCACATGATTCTGACTCCTTCCAGAAATACTACTCCAGACATAAGGAACTAACTTCTGTTACCTCCGGGACTCAAACACCACTCCCTTTGCCTAGAATATCTTTCCGCTACTATATATACTTTCTCATACCTCAGCACTTGGCAAAAAGACCCCCTCTTCCATCTCTCCCTCTAGGTAGAAGGGACTTTGTGCAACACAATGAGAGTTTAAGAATGTGAACTTCAGAGTTGGAAAGACCTGAGCTCCAAACTCTAGCTCTACCATTTTATTGTGGGATCTGGACAAATGCCCTTATATCCTCAAAGCCCCAGAATACTCGGTCTGAATCAGTTCAAACACTCTCCCTCACACACCATAGCACCTTAAACCTGTTCACTGAAAAGTGACTGCTTTTCCATTTATCTTCATCATATATTGACCTTAAGATCAGAGACCATCTTTAAAAAAAAATCTTTTTTTACCTGCAACATAAAACACACTGGAAATGTATTCCCTGAAATGAAAAGCAAATCCCACAAGCAATGCTGCACAGAAAACAGTGTTTGCAAAGTGTGCATTTGGTACAGTGGTTATGATGCCACTTGGGATACCCACATTCCATACTGGAGTGCCTGGTTGTTCAAGTCCTGGCTCCAACTCCTATCTCTGTTTCCTACTAATGTGCACCCTGGGAAGTAGCAAGTGATGGCTCAAGTACAAGGGTCCCTGCCATCCACATGGGAGAGCCAGAATAAGTTCTGGGCTCCTGGCTTCAGCATGGCCCAGTCCTGGCTGTTGCGGGCATCTGAGGGGTAGATCAGCAGAGAGAAGATCTGTCTGCCTCTGCCTTTCAAATACAATGCAAAAGAAATACATACACACATAAACGGATACAATACAAAGGCTTATATATATATATATACACACACACACACACACACACACACACACGAATTCGCATTTAATGCAAAATGTTTTTCTCCTTAATTCTGAAATCCATACACAGAAAGGAGTCTTCAAAGAGTTCACTGAGAGCCGGCGCCGTGGCTCAATAGGCTAATCCTCCACCTTGCGGCGCCGGCACACCGGGTTCTAGTCCCGGTTGGGGCGCCGGATTCTGTCCCGGTTGCCCCTCTTCCAGGCCAGCTCTCTGCTATGGCCAGGGAGTGCAGTGGAGGATGGCCCAGGTGCTTGGGCCCTGCACCCCATGGGAGACCAGGAAAAGCACCTGGATCCTGGCTCCTGCCATCGGATCAGCGCGGTGCGCCGGCTGCAGCGGCGGCCATTGGAGGGTGATCCAACGGCAAAGGAAGACCTTTCTCTCTCTCTCTCTCTCTCACTGTCCACTCTGCCTGTCAAAAAAAAAAATAAATAAAAAAAAAAAAATAAAAAAAAATAAAAAAAAAATAAAAAAAATAAAAAAAAAAAGAGTTCACTGAAGATATGTATTATGAATAAACTATGCGTGGGTTTCAAAATATTTTGTACCAAAACAAACTTACCTTTTGAATACATTTTCCACAATCTGAAGGACCCTCATACACTTAGTGTAATACTGCGTCCACATTACAAAATCACTAGTCACATTCACTGAGGGGTGGGCATCTGGCCCGGTGGTTACAACACCTGCACCTGACATCAGAGTGCCAGAGTTTAATGTCCAGCTCCACTCCTGACTCTGACTTCCCACTGCCATGCACCTTGGCAGGCAGCTGCCAAAGACCGGAGAATGAGTTCCTGCCACACAGAGGAAATCTGCATTGAGTTCCTGACTCCTGGGGGCCTAGGGCCATGGCAGGCATTTGAGGAGTGAACCAGTAACAGGAGCTCTCTTTGTCTCTCAAATAAACACTTAAAAAAAAAAAAAGTTTTATTTATCTACAGAGAGAGAAAGAGGGGAAAAAGAAAAGACTGATCCTCCATGTCCTGGTTCACTCCTACATGGGTGCAGGGGCCCAAACACTTGAGTCGTCCTCTGCTGCTTTCCCAGGCCATCAGCAGGGAGCTGGACCAGAGTACAGCAGCAGGGACTTGAACTGGAGCTCCGACAGAGGATGCCAGTGTCACAGGCAGAGGCTTAATGCGCTGTGCCACCATGCCCGCCCCTAATGAGATTCTCTAAAGACATGATGAAATACTTAAGGGATAAAAATAACAGATCACTACAAAACATATACATTAAAATTTCAAGTAACCTAAAACATACAAATATACATGGGAGAGAACTAAAATGTGGAAGAAATGTCGAAAGATTCATAGTCATTTCTGGGAGAGGAGTATCATGATTTTAACTTTCTTCTTTACATTTTCACATTAATTTCCAAATTGTTAATGACATGCACATTTAAAATGGGCGCCACTACAGAAAGGTAGGTGAAGCAGCTTACAGATGAAGGTGTAAATATACTAGTGACATGTCAAACGAAGAGTCGGGAACAGCATTTCTAAGAGTTACACCTACTACTTAAATTGAATAATTTTCTGCGCACATGTAATCAAGCAAAATATATACAGTATATCAAGCCTTAAAAGAAAATATGTCCATATTTGTCATTCTTATTTCAGCTTGTATCTACCAAAGATTTGTGGCTGTCTGAAAAATGTCACAATTTTTTTTTTTTTTGACAGGTAGAGTGGACAGTGAGAGAGAGAGAAAGGTAGGTCTTCCTTTTCTGTTGGTTCACCCCGCAATGGCCGCTTCAGCTGGTGCGCTGCGGCCAGTGCACCGCGCTGATCCGAAGCCAGGAGCCAGGTGCCAGGTGCACCTGGTCTCCCATGTGGGTGCAGGGCCCATAGACCTGGGTCATCCTCCACTGCACTCCTGGGCCACATCAGAGAGCTGGACTGGAAGGGACAGAATCCGGCGCCCCAACCGGGACTAGAACCCAGGGTGCCGGCGCCGCAGGCGGAGGACTAGCCTATTGAGCCACGGCGCTGGCCAAAAATGTCACAATTCTATTATATTAACAGTGCATGGTAGAGACCATAACCAGGAAGGCAAACTGAGTAATTTCTCATTTTTTTAAAGATTTATTTATTTTACTTGAAAGTTACAGTTACAAGAGAGAAAAGGAGAGGCAATGAGAGTGAGAGAGAGGTCTTCCATCCGCTGGTTCATTCCCCAATTGGCTGCAACAGCCAGGGCTGCGTCGATCTGAAAAGTCAGGAGCCAGGAGCTTCTTCCGGGTCTCCCACATGGGTTCAGGGGCCCAAAGGACGTGGGCCATCTTCCACTATTTTCCCAGGCCATTGCAGAGAACTGGATAGGAAGTAGAGCAGCTGGGTCTCGAACTGGCACCCATACGGGATGCCAGCACTGCAGGTGACAGCTTTACCCGCTACACCACAGCGCTGGCCCCAAACTGAGTAATTTCTAAAAATATTTATGTACTGGGGCAAGCACTGTGGTGTGGAAAGTAACGTTATCAACTGTGGCGCCAACAACCCATATGGACACCAGTTCAAGTCCTGGTTGCTCCACTTCTGATCCAGCTCTCTGTTAATGTGTCTGGGAAAGCAGCAAAAGATGGCTCAAATGCTTGGGGCCCTGCACCCACGTGGGTGCGTAGGAGACCCAGAAGAAGCTCCAGGTCTGGCCACTGTGATCACTTGGGGAGTGAACCAGCAGATGCAAGACCTCTCTCTGTCCTTCCCTCTGTCTTTCAAATAAATAAATAAATCTCTAGGAAAAAAACACCAAGATTTAATACTACTCAGTATTAAACAAAAACAGCTTTTAAGATTACATTTGCTTTGTTTCTGCCTACATTATATACATTGTAACAGTTCAAAATGAGGCTGGCTCCTGAGAGAAACACTGGTAGGTGGGAATCCCATGGCTTTGTCACAGCTGGTGTTTGTTCTGACACTGCCCAGTAAGACATTATTTGAGGGAAAGTCTGGTCACATAGCAAAGGCCTCTCCCATTTCCTGAAAGCCGGCCCTGTGAGAACCTACGTCCCTGTGACTTCAGCAACCACTTCATCCCCACTTCTCTACACTGTCTGTGACTATGTACCTCCTCACTCTCCCCGGGGTTAAAGACCTCCACAGCAGGGTCTCCACACATCCTAACTACCCTAGGTCTCGCGCCGGCAACCATACCTCCGAGTGACGCTCCACACTTCCCGTGTCTGATCCGGAGTGCGGCTCATTCACGTCGTCTTCACCGTCTGACCCTGAGTCCCGCTCGTCCTGTACCGGGGTAGCGCCACCGTCATCTGCTTAAAAATACAAGGAAAACACCCACTTAAAGTCAAGGCGGCTGAAAGGAACGCGCCATCAAGAACCACTGAAGCCACCAGGTACCAGGATCAACACAACGCTCAGGCGCCAGGTGCGGCGTGGCGTGTGCAGCCACAGACATCCGTCAGGAAAGGGAGATGACGATTAAGCAGCATCACTAGAGACCAAGCCAGCGACTTGGAGGTAACAGTGTACTGTTCAGTTTCAACTCCGCATTAAAAATCGGGGAAGAAAACCGGAGTCTTTCTCTCCACAGCCCTTAAGCACCCTGTCATCATTTCCCAACTGATTTTTCTTCACGTGGCTCCTCCTCCTCTTGAATGAAAAGTGCCTCAAGAGCAGAGACCCTGGTTCACTGCTGAATCCCTGCTACCACAGATCACAGTATCTGCTTCCGAAGGAACCAGTCCAGCAATAAGAAGCCTATACTGTACCAGCGCAAAATGACAAACACACGTGCGGTCCAACTTTAACCTGTCCGTTCCAAGTACCAAGTAAAACTCTACTGAGAAGAATTCAGGGAGGGTACAGGCAGAGATGTGGCCTAACACCAGTAACAGGTTTTCACAAAGGAAGCACTCGTCTATGGGAAACCCAAAAACTTGAGTCAGGATAGAATCTAGCTAGCCAAGGGTAAAGTTTATATACTCACAACACACACACACACACACACACACACACAAAGCTAAAAGAATGGGGGTCAATGGGGTAACTGCTATTATCGTTGTCACTTCTTTAACACTTAACCTACATACACGTTTCATGTATTATTTTTTGTAAGTGTATTTAAAACACTCCTGATTGGGGGGGGAGGGGCAAACACGGTTTTGGAAACAGGAGGAAAATGTCGTAAATAAACCGGCGGTGCACACCTGGAGAAGCATCTGCGGCCGTGACTGTCCGCGGTCATGTGCGTCCCGAAGAGGACCTCACAATTATCTCAACAGTTTTGATCCGGAAGGCCCCAACAGAACAGCTCACAGGGGCAGAGCAAACCTAACGTGCTTTCCTCCCGCTTCCCTGCATCTTAGCTGGATGCCTTGCACGGCGCTGACGGACAGGGATCCAGCATTAAATAAACGGGGAGCCGCGGGGAGCAAGCCGGTACGGAGCCCGCAGAGCTATCTCAGGGAGAAGGCAAGGCGCAAAGACCCCCCGGAAGCGCCAGACGTGCCCGCCTGGCGGGTCTTGCGAGCTCTCACCGGGAACACCAGGGCTGCGGGCGAGATTCGAGCAGCCACACCGTGAAGTGTCCCCACCGACAGCTCCCTCGGACTCTCAAAAAGTTCCCGACTCCCGAAAAAGTCCCGTTAACAAAAGAGACCGCTCCTGCCCCAGCACTGTGGAGGCAGCTTCCCAACCTCAGCGAAACGCCTCTGCCAGGGCCCCAGTCCCTTCTCCGAGGTTCCAACGCGGGGTGCTGGCGGGCTCTGCCCGCACCGCCTGGAGGTCCGCCCCCGCCTCCGGCCGGCTCCCAAGGGGGAACCCTCCCGAGCGCCGGCCTCCCCTCCCCCGTCGCAGGGCCAGACCGAGCCCGCCGGGCAACCGCTCCGCCCCTTAGGCCAGTCCCCGCGTCCCCCGTCCCACCTGACTGGTCACCGCTATAATATTCCGAGTCCATGGCAGGCGGGCTCTCAGCGGGGAGTGTCCGCACCCCGCGCCGCCCCCGTCACCTCCTTCCCGGCGGTGTGAACCCCCCCGATGGCGCGGCCCGGTGCTCAGAAGCTCCCGAACGACTGGAGACTTTGGAGGGTGCCGGAAATGAGAAAGCGGCGGCCGCAGAGGTGAACGCTTCAACCTGGACACTCCGACTGAAAAGGCCGTACCCGGGAGTCGGGCAGGCGTGCGGGCCGGCGCTCTACTTCCCAGAAGCGCCTCTGGGGCCAAAATGGCGTCTGCCCGCGACCCTCAAAGGAACGCAATGCGCAGGCGCGGTCACCTTCCAACGGGCCAATGGAAAGACTCAAAGGTAATGACGCACGGCGCGGCCTGAAAGGAGACTCCTGGGAAAATGAGGCGGGCGCTCCGGCTTCAGTTAAATATTATCCTCAAGAGCAACTGCTTTGTCTTACATGGAAATGATAGCATTACTCGCTCGGTCCTGTGTCTGAGCCTTGTTTGAGGAGCTTTTGAGCTGCTTTTCTGAATAATGAAGTCCTGCTAAAATGACAATTTTCGTCATTCGGCTAAAGAACTACTATTCCCATCATGCAGCGAGGCGTTCGATTCCCGCCCGTAGTACGAAAGGGAGGTGGCGCGTTGCTCTCTGGGACTTGAAGTTGGACGCCTTGGAAACCGGTCTGCGTTCCCAGCGTTACCAGAAGCGCAGCTTCTAAGGCATCCTGCTTGGTTTCTTTTTGAAACAGCTTGATTTCCACTCTAAGAAGCTCTTTGTCCCACAATAAGTAGCATCTTTACGTCCGGGAGGGTCTACTTATGAAAACTTGACGGTGACTCAAGTTCACCTGCACCCTCTGCCCTGGGAAAACAGCAGCGAGGCAAGAAACTGCCTCACCTGTGTATAGGGTGGCTACCTGTACAGAACCGCCCACCTCCATAGGACTTAGCTAAAATTCACCCCAGGGATCCCCTGCTTAACCTGCGACAAGGCCAAAGACCTTTCTCCTAGCGTCTGAACCTGTCGATGAGGCCAGACAACAGGCCCTCACAGATTCTGCCATCATGGTCTCAAGAACTCTCCTCCTGCGACCCCCGACGATGAACCGGACACAGAGATGAACATTCTGTTCACGTGACTGAAACTCTTCCTGACTGCAAACAGTTGTAACTATCAGTCCTTCCACTGTCCTCCCTTATCAAAGTCGGAGGGGAAAACCATCTTATCAAGATGTTCTGATCCTGTCTGGGATGCCATCCCTATTACAGTAATCTGAATAAAGCCCATTCCCTTCTTTGCTGGTTTATCGACTCAGACAAGAAGGAGAGCATTCTTGCCTTTTGCTTTTGTAGAGAGGCCAGTGGGGATGTAAGCATAGACTTGCAGAAATAGGGCCTTGTGCTATGACTACAGATATATGACACTTTGCTGGCAAGGCCTTGAGAATCACAAGAGCCCAGAAGTCCAGGAAGAGGTTCAGTGAGCAGGAACCCAGTGCACATCCTGTCTGTAAGGACCTTTTAGTTTCATGGCAATGGCCCTGAAAGTGATTGGGCTTTAGATGGTACAAGGCAAGAGCAGGAAGGTAGTTCCTGAATTTTAATGGATGAACTAACTGTGCTGGCAGCTTGGAGGATGGACAGAAAGACTGAACACACAGCACTGTACTGAACCCCCAGAAAGCCACAAGGAAGCATCCGATCTAGTTTTTGCACATGGGAAGTCAATAACTTAGAAAAGACTAGACCTTTCAGGTAAGTATAGAGCCTTAATTACAGCTGCGTGCTTGTCAATGTAAACACGCTTCAGAGAATTCCTCAGAGCCCTGCGCACCAGACGCTGTCCCTCAGGGGAAACTGTGGAGCAGCACAGATGTGGCTCTCTGAGTCCAGGTTGCCTTGTATTCTGAAGACTCTGCACTCCAGCCCCAACACACCTGGCCCACGGTGATGCAGTCCTCAACAGAAAGCCTGTTTTCACCAGGGCAGAGAAGAAGACAACGGACCACCCTTGGGAGGCATGAATGCCTGTCTTGTGGGAGTGGATTAGGTCTCTGGGTACTGGATTAGTATTTGTGAGAATGGATTTGTTAAAAGCAAGCCGGGGGGCTGGTGTGGTGGAGCAGCAGTTTGGCCCCAGCTACTCTGCTTCTGATCTAGCTCCTTCAAAAAGCAGCAGCAGGTGGCCCCTGCCACCCACATGGGAGACCTGAATGGAATTCCAGCTCCTAACTTCAACCTGTCTCAGACCTGGATGTGTGGCCATTTGGGAACAGAACCAGTGAATGAAAGATTCTATCTCTCTCTCTCTCTCTCTTTCTGCCTTTCAAATAAATAAATCTAAAATAGGGCAAGCCTGGCACCTCCCCAAATCCCTCTTCCACTGGCACCACTCTTGTACATGCACCTGCCATCCACTGTGTTAGGACACAGCACAAGGCCCTTGCCCTATGTGGCTTCCCGATCTTCAGCTTTTCAGCCTCCAAAACTGTGAGCCAAAATAAATCTCTTTTCTTTATGCAATGTGCAGTCTCGAGTATTTTGCTGTAATAACATAAAACAGACTACAGTAAACCCATTATGATGGTTTAAGCAGTGTCTTCCAGGTGCTTTTCTCTTTCCAAATTCTGTTCTGTAGAAGTGAATCACCAAGTCTGGCCTGGCCCACAAAGAAGTGTGAAGTCCTCTGACAACAGTCAAGTGGGGCTGAAACTGTGCCGTAGCAGGTAAAGCCACTGCCTGCAGTGCCGCCATCCCATATGGGTGCTGATTCAAGACCCAGCTGCTCCACTTCTGATCCAGCTCTCTGCTGTGGCCTGGGAAAGCAGTAGAAGTCCATGGGCCCCTGCACCTGCATGGGAGACCCGGAGGACAATCCTGGCTCCTGGTTTCAGATCGGCACAGTTCTGGCAACTGTGGCCATCTGGGGAAAAACAGTCAAGTGAGGTGGGAATTGTGGGGAAGCCACTGCTAGGGACTAGGGATGCCCACATTCCATATAGGAGTGCCTGGTTCAAGTCTCAGCCCTGCACCTGATTCCTTCCTCCTGCTGTTGCTCACCCTGGGAGGCAGCAGTGACGGCTCGAGTACACAGATCCCCTGCCACCTCTCCAGGAGACTTGATAAGAGTTCCTGGCTCCTGGCTTCAGCCTGATCCTGACTTGGCTGTTGTGGGCATTTGAGGAGTGGATTAGTGGCTGGGAGGTTCCTTTCTCTCTCTTTCTCTCTCTCTCTCTCTCTCTCTGGGTGTGTCACTCTGCCTTTCAAAAATAAATCAATAAATAGAACTAAAGAAAAAACAAACAGTGGGGCCAGCGCTGTGGTATAGCAGGTTAACGCCCTGGCCTGAAGCGCCAGCATCCCATATGGGTACTAGTTTTAGTCCCGGCTGCTCCACCTCCGATCCAGCTCCCTGCTATGGCCTGGGAAGGCAGTGGAAGATGGCCCAAGTCCTTGGGCCCCTGCACCCTTGTGGGTGACCAGGAAGAAGCTCCTGGCTCCTGGCTCCAGATTGGTCCAGCTCCGGCCATTGCAGCCATTTGGGGAGTGAACCAGCGGATGGAAGATCTCTCCCTCTCTCCTTCTTTCTGCCTCTGCCTCTCTGTAACTCTGCCTTTCAAATAAATAAATAAATCTCTTAAAAATTTCATGGAAAATTCGTGTTCTAAGTCCATTCTTTCCAGAGCTTTTTTTGAAGTTCCTCCTGTGTGTTTCTGTGTGTGTGTGTAAATGTATTTAGTTCTCATAGCAACTCTGTGAGATAAATGTGACTGTTAGGACCTATTTATAAATGCTCAAGTTGAAGTGCAGACAGGGGAGGCAACTTGTCCAAGGTCATACAGTGAGTAAATAACAGACGCAGACGTCAAATAAACTTAAATAATGAGCGAGTTTCCACTAATGACACCAATCCTAACCAAGGTTGTTTCAGAAACGTCAGCTTTCTGTTCAGAGAAACCGCTGCCCCTTCATGGGCAGGGAGCAGCAGTGACAATCCCTCGTGCTCTGGAATCTGAGAACAGCTTGGTGTGGAGGAACTGTTCCCTAGGCCTTCGAGCAGGGTGGCTGCAGGCCAGACAGGAGCCAGCTGTGCAGGGCAGGGCAGGGCAGGGCAGGGCAGGATTTGTTCTTGGTGCTGAGATGTGTTATCTAGAGTCCTACAACAGTGTGAAGCAGGTCATGGAGAATGTCACTGTTTCTTTAAGTTGCTTTTGAAAAAAAAAAAAAAAACTTATTTCTGCATAGTTCCTGCAATTGGAGATTACCCTTCCACTGCTGCTTCCCCTAAATCCACTCTTAATGTCGCTATCTTCCCAGCTTTGCAGTTCCTGGTCAACCCAGCCGCAAGAATGTGAACTGTCTTCAAATAGACCATTAGAGCCCAAAGGAACTCCCTCCTGACCTGGTAGTTCTGGCACTGCCCAGTGGGTGTTTACTGAGCCCAGCTCCTCTGCCACAAAGCACTGTGGGCAGCTGGAGGCTGGGAAGATGGACACACAATCTCCATGCTCAGGTGTTCACACAGACACAGGGCACGTGGAAGTGGTTTCTCAAGGAACCCTCCGCTTACTGTTTGTTTTTTCTATTTTTTTTAAGATTTATTTATTTTTATTTGAAAGGCAGAGTTACACAGATAGAGGAGAGAGAGAGAGAGAGAGAGAGAGAGAGAGAGAGAGAGAGAGGTCTTCCATTTGCTGGTTCACTCCCCAAATGGCTGCAACGGCCGGAGCTGCGCTGATCCAAAGTCAGGTACCAGGAGTTTCTTCTTGGTCTCCCAAAAGGGTGCAGGGGCCCAAGGACTTGGGCCATCTTCCACTGCCTTCCCAGGCCATAGCAGGGAGCTGGATCGGAGGTGGAGCAGCCGGGACTAAAACCAGTGCCCATATGGGATGCGGGCGCTTCAGGCCAGGGCGTTAACCTGCTTTACCACAGCGCTGGCCCCACTGTTTGTTTTTTCTTTAGTTCTATTTATTGATTTATTTTTGAAAGGCAGAGTGACACACCCAGAGAGAGAGAGAGAGAGAGAGAGAGAGAGAGAAAGAGAGAGAAAGGAACCTCCCAGCCACTAATCCACTCCTCAAATGCCCACAACAGCCAAGTCAGGATCAGGCTGAAGCCAGGAGCCAAGAACTCTTATCAAGTCTCCTGGAGAGGTGGCAGGGGATCTGTGTACTCGAGCCATCACTGCTGCCTCCCAGGGTGAGCAACAGCAGGAGGAAGGAATCAGGTGCAGGGCTGAGACTTGAACCAGGCACTCCTATATGGAATGTGGGCATCCCTAGTCCCTAGCAG